GGGAAAAGGACTAGAACTTTCATGACTAAAGTTGTTAAAAAATTGTTAAGAACATTCTGAGGTTATACCAAAGGATTGGTTGCTTGTAGATAGTTGGAAGTATAGTATTGTTTGGAAAAACCATACTTATATTTTTAGATTGGGATGATTCTTGGTCAAAATTGATGGTTATACGGGAATATTGAAATGTTTCCATAGTGGGAGTTGATTCTTAAATCCACATGTTAGTTGGAAACTTTAATGCGAAGAAGGTGTTCAAGGAGTGTATCCTGAATTTGAGACTTCGTTTCAATGGAATTGTTTTTAGTAACAAAGTTCCAATGAACGTTTTGTAATATCGTTGCCTATTCTTTGTGACTTTGAAGCCACGACATCACAGAAGGATTTGGAATAGTGAAATGAGCATCATTAGAATAGTGTCCAGTCGGCCTGTTCACAAAGGAAAGGACCAGAGAGAGACATCGTATGCATGTTTATAACATGGCATGACTGATGTTTAATTCAAGTGGTTAGTTGATTACTCGGAACATTATATACTGAATAAACTATTAATTAATATGGTGATTAAATAATAAGATTTTTATTTATATTCAATAGTTTTGAAACCAAAGTTAATTAGGTTGTTATTGTGTTTCACTTTGCATGGTTTACTTCCTGAATAATTTGATTATTTGAAATTTCACAGTCGATTGTACTTTTGGAAGTAAGTAGAGAATTAAGACTGTCATGAATTGAATTGTAGATTGTCTGTGGGGATTAGACATTGCAATAAGATTGCTACAATGTTCATGAGTACTTAGAAAATGGGGATTTTAAGTATTAGATAAACCCACACTCAGAGAATTACTTCATGGATTTTATCACGAGTAATTTAGATGATAATATCATATATTCTTGAAACGGAGATATATGAGTTGTTGTTTACAAGTCAGTTGTGCATTGATAATGCGTAAACGAATCAGTACCTTGATGTTATAAAATGTATTATTATGAATGATTTGATGAGTAAATAGTGAAAGCATATAAGTTAAAGTTTATCCGTTCCTTTTTCTCTATCATTAAAAGCGATATCTTTGGGCCCCTCGGTGATTTGGTTTTGACTTATAAGTTCTAGGCCTAGCCAAGACTAAATTGATGTTTTCAATTAGAAGTCTTATGTCGTCATCACAAATCAGAAATCGGGAAATAAAATCTTGGACGCTGAGATTGATTATAATCCATGTCTCATATCCATACGATATCTTGTAGAACGGAGGAATATTTGATCGCTTATCTTAGGACACGTAACTGACTAGGTCAGAGTTCGACAACGACTTTTGGAAGCTACAATTTGCCGATCAGTTTGGAAGTTATACTAGCAATTATAGTTACAGACTTATCCAAGTGGGAGACTGTTGGATTGAGTGTCTAAGCCCATAACTATAATTGGTATAAACTTGAATTGATAGTACCACAGTCCTTGTGGGTTGCCCTCAAACCTGACAATGGACTATGATAGCTTTTAGAGAGAGAGAGAGAGAGAGAGAGAATGATTTATTAATTTATTATATGGTTAATAAATTAACTAGAAATAAAAATAAATAATTTGTTAATATATTATGAGAATAATATATTAATTGAAAATAATATTATTTAACTAATAATTAATCAGAAATTAACTGGAATTAATTTTGGGATTAATTGGATTAATTAAAAGTGGAGGGTCTGTTTTGTTATTTATTGAAAGTTAAGGAAATGAGCCCATGGACCTCATTGGACGAGGTGGACGAAAATCACTTGGGAAAGCCCAAGGAATTTTGTCCAAGCCCCTTGAAAGAGGGGAATAGGCTGCTTAGTCACCAAACAAAGGGATTAGGGTTTCCTCCTTAAACCCTAGCTTTTGCACCAAGCTACCTCAGCTATATAAGGACCTTAGCATTAGAATTTCGGCCATGACATTCTTTAGAGGGTTAGGCTGAAATTTGTACTCTTCTCCTCTTTCTCTTCAAGCTCCTTGGTTGCTAGGGTTTGGGTGTCAACCATTAGAGGCACGAGACTTGTGGTTCTTGCTTCCAAGAGTTTTTTCAAGAAGGAATTCAAGATTTTTTGCAATAACAATCTTCAAGGTAAGTTTCTTGTTCTTATGAATTATTTTTTCATAGGAAAGTTTTGTAGGATAACAATTCATAGTATGTTGCCTATATGCGAAAGACATGGATCCTATTAGGTTGCATGGCCCTAATCGTTTGAACTGTTTAAATGTTTTTCCTCTTAGAGCATTGTAGTTGTAACCCTAATAACCCATCAAATTTGTAGAACAAAATTTCCTTCCAAAAACAAAACACTTACAACATTGAAGATCGATATAAGATTCATGAGATCAAATTGTCATTTAGGATCCTTTTCTTGAAAAAGTTGCTTAAACCTCCAAGATTACACTCTAATACCACATGTAGTGACTCGATGATGATGACATATGCGGTATTGTAATGATCAAGTGAATCTAAACCAATACTGAATAACACACAATGTAAATAATCTCGTTTAAGCTCTCATTAGATCTAGTAAGCTATTACAAAGTGGGTTATGTAATAATTTTCTCACTAGACTAATCTCTCCAAATGGTTCTTCCATAAAATGGGAGCCACTAACTTCCTATTTATAGGAATGGCTAAACCCATTACACATCACAAGAGGGTAAGCCACAAACAAGGAGAACTTTGCACCCTAACAAGAGTCATTAACTAAAGTATACGAATGTAACTGTATGGATAAAATTCGAGTACGTTTGATAAGTATAAGCGTAATAATGCATGATATTCGTTTTAATATGTGACGAATCTTATGGGAGTGTACACTAATACATGTAAGAATCTAGGATACAAGTTCTATATATATATATATATATATATATATATATATATATATATATATATATATATATATAAGCTACTGCTACTTTAGAGGTTGTGTAGGGTTTACAATGACACGATTAGTGAATACACGATGCATGCATGCACCTTAAATAGTAAAACCCTAATTAATAAACACGGGTGGACAGGCCCAACCCGGATATACAAAACACTAAGTAAAGGCCCAAAAGACGCAACACTAAAATACTCAACAGAAGGAATAGGTCACTATGAGACGGATAGAGGATATCGTGTGCTGACATCACTGGAGATGAAGAGAAGACTGGATGAGCTAAAACTTGACCAATTCAGATGGGTAAAGCCTGAAATCTTGAAAGAAGTTAACAAGTTCTACAATGGCTCTTCTGATGACTCTAAAGAAAAAGAAGATTAGTTTTAACATCATCAGATAGGGGGAGCTTGTAAGGTCACACCTTATGATCTGATGAGTCAAACACTTAACATGTTGATCTATCAACGTCAGCGTCTACGAGCCGACAGCGCCAACATCACACGTCCAACAGCGTCAGCTTATAGTATAGTTATCAGATGATAATCTTTTGTATATGAGGCAGTTATATAGATAAATATAGAATATATAAGATCGTGTATCTTTATGATAAGATCGTATCTTAGTATAGATTAGACGTAATCCCTTCAATTAAGAGATTGATATGTATAGATTAGTATATATACAACATTAGGGTAAAACCTAATGTTGTGATCGTGGTTTTGTGTCAATTGTCTTTGTGACAACCCGTCTTCTTGGTGAAGACAAAACCTCTTTTCTTGGTGAAAGGAAAAGTTTGGAGAGCTTCTATGTTATTTTACTTTTTGTTGGTTATTTTGTTTAGATTAGTTTTACTTTTCTTGTTCATACTTGAAGTATATCCGATCAAATACAAACCTTCAACATACCACAATGAGAAATCACCGTTGGACTAGGCTAATTCGCAAGGTGAGGCTAATGGATTGCCATTTAGGTGGTTGTTTTTGGAAAAAAACTAATTTTTGTCCGTTATTAGCTAAGTCATTAAAAAATTTGGCTATTTTGTAAATTTCTCGCCCACCATGACTAAAAAAGTCATGTCTATTGAGTGAAATGATATTTATAACCCATTTACAGCTTCAGCCCCCTAAACTGCTGATACTTTCACATTTTTGAGGCATAATTAGTAAGGCCACTAATACTTTGACATTTTGGAGGCATAATTCTATAAGGCCACATTAGTGGATTCCACATGGACATGATTACCTTCTAACACATACCATTGTTTTGTTTAACATGTCATTTAGTACAAGAATGGCTTAGAATGCACAAAAGGGACTATTTGAAAACGAAAGTATGAGTTCATAGTGTTTTAATGACAATAACCGATCGAAAATATTGAATACCAAAATGGATGAAAAAGAATACAGAGTATCGAACCAGACTAACGATAATAATACGCATACCGGGTACCGGGTATTGTAATGATTTTTGGTACTAGCGCCATACCGACTTTTCAAAATAACGAATTTTGTGATTGTAGAGTATCGGTAACCATCCCATATTAACCAATCTTAATATTTTTATCATTTAACTAAAGGGCCTTTGGCCTAGAGGTATAATGAGAGCCAAAGTTTGAGGTACTTTTAAAACCAAATGTGTAGATTTAAGATTAGATTAGTGGATGTGTATAATCCGTTAAAAAAATTATTTTTACCATTAATTTATCAACAACCTATCCTAATAAAAGATACTTTTGACAATTTCATATATATACATTAAAAAATATCAATATTATACTCGTGGAGAATTAATAATTATAATTCATATATAATTTCATAAAAAATCTAATGTTTAAAATATTGGTTTTAAAGTTAAAAAATAAAAAATATTAAAAAAATAATAATAATAGTAAATGACATGGCTATGGATCGTAGTTGCAAAAACTAAAAAGAGTTTGTCTTCCAACCAATAGTGCCAATTGTTGTCGAAAGCATGTGTGTAAAAATCGGTCAAACTCTTGAACCAGTAAAATCCTTTGGTTTATAATGTTTATTCAACTAATGAATCAGACTTTCATCCACCAGAGAAGAATTAGAAGCTTGAACGTGAGAATTTTAATGGGGAAAGCAACTATACTTGTTCTTTTACTTGTTTCACTCCACATTCAGAAAATCTATACTGCTCAAATTGACTTGATTTCTGATTCAAGGTTCTTGACAGAATCAGACACGTTGGTCTCACCAGCCGGAATTTTTGAACTTGGGTTTTTCAGGCCAGGCAACTCTGATTACAAATACGTTGGTATTTGGTACAAGAAAATCTCTGTTCAAACAGTGGTTTGGGTCGCCAACAGAGACTTCCCACTCAGGGCTGCATCATCCAGCACACTGAAGATCATCTCTCCAGGAAATCTTGTCCTCATCAACAACACTAATGATATAGTATGGTCATCCAATACAACGTCATCAGTCAACGCAATTGCACAGCTTGACGACACCGGAAATCTAATTGTCAAAGAAAGAATCGAGGAGAAGATTCTGTGGCAGAGTTTTGATTATCCAACTGATACTCTTCTACCTGGAATGAAGTTAGGGAGAAGTTTCTTGACTGGTAAGGAATGGCATCTATCTTCATGGAAAAATAGTCAAGATCCAGCTCCAGGTGAATTCACATGGATCACTGACACAAACGGCTTTCCTCAGGACCTACTAAAACAAGGTACATCAATCAAGTTCCGGATTGGACCATGGAATGGTATATGGTTTAGTGGGTTTTCTCCGGTCAACCGGAACATCATTAAAGCAGACATGGTTATTAATTCAACGGAGGTGACTTACAGTTATTCTCTTATCAATTCTTCTGTCATCTCAAGACTTGTCGTGAGTTCATCTGGCCAGATAGAACGTTGGGTGTGGGTGGCTGAAGCTAAGAAATGGCAGCTTTTCTTACAGTTACAAAGAGATTTCTGTGATGAATACAACATCTGTTATGCTCATGGAACCTGCAGCGTTTTGACCCCACAAAGATGTGGTTGTTTAGATGAGACAAGGTTCGTGCCCAGAAACCAAAAGGCATGGGAAGTAGCAGATTGGTCGGGTGGTTGTGTGAGGCGAACACCATTGGATTGTAGAACAGATGGGTTTATCAAGTATTCTTATGTGAAACTGCCCGACACAAGGACTTCATGGTATAACATGAGCATGAACAGGAAAGAATGTGAAGAAAAATGCTTGAAGAATTGTAGTTGTATGGCCTATTCAGATACAGACATCAGAGGTGAAGGAAGTGGCTGCTTGCTTTGGTTCAATGAACTCAAGGACATAAGAGTCTTCCCTCCGGGCAATGATGGTCAGGATATCTTTATAAGAATGGCTTCCTCAGAATTAGGTATATATCGATCTCTTTACCAAAACATACCTTGAATAGGTTTATAAGATATTTCTCACCATGTAATATTACTTATTTCATGATAGTAACTGCAGCTCAGTCACTACACGAGAAGAAGAAGAAGAGACTAAACCTCAAAATCATCTTACCGGTAGTTTTTCTCGGGGTTCTTCTGATAGTCTTTAGCTCTACATGGTTCTGGTACGCATGGAGAAAAAGACATGATCCAAAACCAAGGAAAGGTAAAGAAAATACAGATTTTTGAAGTATGTTGTTGAATACTCAACAGTAATATGAATTCTTGAAGCAGATTCTTGTATTTTCAATACACAGATTCCATGGAGCTACCATTGTTTAGCTTTTCTACATTAGCTAGAGCTACTGCTAGTTTTTCACCCAATAATAAAATTGGAGAAGGTGGATTTGGATCAGTTTATAAGGTAATAATAGTATGTAATAATAAGTAACACAATCCATGCAGTATAAGCTTGCCACATTTACATAAAGAGAGATGAAATTCATCTCTGCTTCTATTGTTTTTCACATGGCAAATGATGATCTCCAGGGTGTGTTAGAAGAAGGACTAGAGATTGCAGTTAAGCGTTTATCTAAGACGTCAACCCAAGGACTTGATGAGTTCAAGAATGAAGTCATTTTCATTTCAAAACTTCAGCACCGAAATCTTGTTAAACTCCTCGGATGTAGCATACAGGGAGATGAAAAGTTGTTGATCTATGAATACATGCCAAACAGAAGCTTAGACTCTTGTATATTTGGTCAGAACCACATAACCTCTATTTATTTAACGTTTTGCAACTAAGCATTCACACCTTCATTTTGGGCAGATAAGACACGAAGCTCCCTACTAGATTGGACTACACGCTTTAACATTATCAAAGGAATTGCTCGAGGACTTCTTTATCTGCATCAAGATTCACGATTAAGAATCATCCACAGAGATCTTAAAGCTAGCAATGTTTTACTTGATAAAGACATGAACCCTAAGATATCGGACTTTGGAATGGCTAGAAGCTTTGGAGGAAATGAGACTCCAGCAAAAACAGAGAGAGTTGTTGGCACGTAGTAAGCTAGATAATTTAACTGTATATACATTCTATTCTCTTAAGTTCTTTTTTTGACTCTTATAAGCATCTTCCTTTGTGCAGTGGTTACATGTCCCCGGAGTACGCAATAAATGGTGTTTTCTCAATAAAATCGGATGTATTTAGCTTTGGTGTTATAGTGCTGGAGATAGTGAGTGGGAAGAGGAACAGGGGATTCATTCATTCTGAACATGACAATAACCTCATTGGACATGTAAGTACACCCGCCACAAACTACTAGTTTGAGTTACAATAATATAGTCATGTAACTATTTCTACATTATTTATATTCAGGCATGGAGATTACATAATGAAGGCAGGTCGATGGAACTTATTGATACGACTTTAGGCCAATCAAGCAATTCATCAGAAGTTATAAGATCAATTATAGTGGGGTTGTTATGTGTTCAACAAAGTCCAGAAGACAGGCCAGACATATCATCTGTTGTTGGGATGTTGGGCAACGAGGGTGCATTGCTGAAACCTAAGCAGCCGGCTTTTTTCACAAAAGGAATCTTACATGGTTCTAATATTTCTTCAAGCAGTTACCCAACGTGTTCAACCAATGATTTAACTGTTACAGAGGTAGTTGCTCGGTAAAAAGAACATACGTAGCTTCAACCTCATTATGTTTCTTCTTATTAGGAGCTTCAAAATTCAGCTATCTATTATCTCGATTTTTAAACTTATCTACCACATGGTTTAGTTGCTGGATTGTATCATTGTATAATGCACTTGTTGAGGATAAAACGATCACAGTGACTTGAGATAAACCAAATCAACTAAAAAGTTGAATATATTCATGAACGAGTATGCAACCGAATAGAACAGATATGATGCCACTTGACAAGTTCTAATACCACTTGTTAAGAAGTAAAGTCGATAACTCACAAACCACACACATATAAATGCACAATAGTTACATGGTTCAATCAAGATTACCTACATCCACAGACAGGAGGGAGTACTCTTATTCAAAAGTTCTCAAATAGAGATTACTAGTACATTCAATAGAAATTAGTCATACTCGTCAAGGATTCAAGATACAAAAAAAAAAATAGTCGCATGCATCCCTATTTGTAGGCTAGGGATCAGACCTAAACCCTAATGAGTCAAGCCCATCAGTCCATAGCTCAATAAAAGGTTTCAACCAACCATATGTCGTCACACAACCGTTTCTAGAATCTTCTATTTTTGACTTTGGAAAACACCTTTGCACCAAGAGCACTTTTATCTCACTAGGATTGTTTTCCACTACCAAAGGAGATTTCACTCACCAAGAGAGCTTTCTACCACCAAAGACATCACCCAATGCTTTCAAGTGCTCTGTTAGAAAGCATTGCTACAAAACTCTCTCAGAAAGCTCTACCACAATACTCTGTCACAATGGTGTGTCAAGATATCAAAATGCTCTGCCACAATGCTCCATCGTAATTGCTAAATGAAGCATGGCCATATCAAACAATAATCATTCAAGTGGAAACCGATGAAAAATAAGAACGGTAGAATTTTTACATGGAAATTAACTAAACTGGCAAAAGATCACCGACATGAGATGCCAAGAACCAATTCAAAATGTTGTTGAGGTGATTACAAATATATGAGAGAGTATTATCCTAACTTACTCATACTCAATATGAGAGACCTAACCCCCTATAAATTATTATCAATATACGGAAATACTAATGATAAGAATATTGTTCTTCACTACATAACATTCCCATAAACAACCAGATACTTGTGCCTAAAAATAGGATATATAAGCCCATAGAAAATCAACCCAGGCAAACTTTCGTCGTTGTTATCTTAAAGTTGTCATGCAAAGCTGACCCCATATCAAGTTGTCAAGACAACTCAGTTCCAAAAAGATATGGACCTATGAGGGCACGTCTAAAAAGTCTTCATGTGAACTCCAAAGTTAAAATATCAATCAATCCAAATCCATTGACATGGATCCTTACATGAAGAAATAGTAAAGAAAGGACCTCAAATGTAATCTTCATCATCCATCAAGATCCCCTTATCTTAATTATGTTTTAGCACAATCACTAAGTCTAGACATAAGTTAAACTTAGCTACTGGAAGACATTTTTAACTAAACCTATATATAGGTGATAATATTGCCATATGATTATTGAAATAGAGAAATTACAAGGTTCTCAATGAAAAGCATAAAGGATACAAAGAAGAAAGGGGAGAATAAATACTAGCTAAGACAAAACCCTAATTGGATAAAGCCTAAAGGGCCCATAAACATGTGTGATAGCAACATATAGGCTAACACCCCCCCTCAAACCTACAATGCCACAACAATAAGCATTGAGAGTTTGTTACACAAGAAGTGAAACCGAGATACCGACAGAGCCTTCGTAAAAATATCCGCAAGCTAAAAGGTTAATGAAACAAACGGAAGCGATATGGAAAATAGAATTCTTCACAATTTGTTCGCACTTTGGTTATCACAATGCTGGGGAGAATGTGAAGAAATGTGAACCCTCATATCCACAAGAAGCCACCGTAACTAGATAATCTCATATGTAGTCACAACCATAGCACGATACTCAACCCCCATGGAAGATCTAGAGACAATGTTTTGTTTCTTCCTTTTCCATGAAATGAGAGACTCTCCAAGAAACACAAAAAATTCGGTGGGGGATTTACGATCATGACGATCACCATCCCAATAAGCAACACTATATGCACGTAACTCAAGAGAAGACGTCGAGGGAAATAAGAGGGTCTGAAACTGAGTGCCACAAAGATATCTCAGAATGTGGAGTACAACACCCCAATGAATAGAGGTAGGAGCAGTATCAAATTGACTAACAACATGAACAACATGAGCAATATCCGGATGAGTAATTATGAGATAAACCAAACTTCCCACAACAGTGCGATAAAGATTCGGATCGGAAAAAAGAACACCATCGGTAGGAGAGTATCATGCATTGGTTTCAAGTAGAGTATCAACAGTTCGATTGTCAGAGAGGTCGGCCCATGTAAACAAGTCAGGTATATATTTAGTCTGAGAAAAAAGACACCCTTTATTAGACTGAGCTACATCAATACCCAAGAAATAACACAGAAAGCCCAAATCCTTCATAGCAAATCGAGTAGCTAGATCATGCTTCAAAGACTCAATGACACCATGCTAATCACCAGTAGTAATCATGTCATCCACATATAAGGACAAAAGAATCTGTCCTACACTCGAGCATCTAAAAAACAAAGACGAATCATGATTACTCTGGAAAAATCCAAGAGAGGTAATCATTGTGGAGAATTTCTCAAACCAAGCATGAGGCGCTTTCTTGAGACCATACAAAGCTTTTCGAAGCCGACAAACCTCATCGGCTGGTGCTGAATTCCTGGGGGAGGAGACATATAAACCTCTTCATGGAGGTCACCATTCAAAAAAGCGTTATTGACATCCATTTAGAAGATCTTCCACTGTCGAACGGATGCAACTGCAATCTGTTCACATATTGTCATCATCTTTGCCACTGGGGCAAAGGTCTCCTCATATCCAAAACCGAACTGTTGGGATACCTTTTTGCTACAATTATGGCCTTATACCGCTCTACATACCCATCAACTTTTGTTTTTATTTTGTACACCCAATGAAAACCAATCGTATGTTTCTTAAGAGGAAAGGAAAGCAAATCCCATATATGAGTCTGATGAAGAGTAGTGACTTCCTCAACCATAAAATTTGTGCCAAAGAGGATCAAAAACACAACTTATCTATACAATTCAGGTTCAGACAGATGATGGATGCTCGCTATAAATGAAGCAAATAGTGTTGAGTATGTAGAGTAAGCAAAATCTAGAAGCTTGGTGGACTTGATAGGATGAGTAGATCTCTTGAGGGGTGGTGGAGGTGGGACATCAATCTCAACAGTCACAGGGGCGGACTCAGGAATAAGAGGAGTCAAGGAACTCTTTGAAGAAGTGGGAGTGTCATGAACTAGAGTATCAGGCGACATAGATGAGTCTCCAGCCTCTATATCCTCATCAAAAGGATCAATATGCAGAAGATCTGACTTCATTACATTGTGGGTTGTAGCAGGAATTGAGTATAAAGGAATATATTCTAAAAACGTGACATGTCGAGAAACATATAACTTCTGACTCACATGATGATAGCAACGATATCCTTTCTGTCCAACACCATACGCCAAGAATACACAAATAGTAGATTTCGGTCCCAACTTGTTCCACTCAATATTAGGACGAAGAACAAAACAAGTACATCCAAAGACTGGTAGAGTATAGTAGTCTGGTAGGTGACCATATAGCTACTCAAAAGGATACATTCATGAGTTCAATGCAGTAGGGACACAATTAATCACATAAATAAAAGTTAAGACAATTTCTCCCCAAAAGGCACTAGGAACCTACGCAGACAGGAGCAATGAGCAGGTTGTCTCAACAACATGACGGTGTTTCCGTTCTTCCACACCGTTTTGCTAAGGAGTATCAGTGCATGATCAATGGTCTATGATACGATCAAAATCAAGTAACTGAGTAAAATCATAGAGGTATATTCACACTAAGTCACATCCGAAGCACTTTATCACATCTGAATGTTGAGTTTTAACAAAAGATCTAAAATTGTCGTAAATGGCAAGAAAATCATATTTGTGTTTCATAAGATAAACCCAGGTATATCTAATATAATCATCTATAAAAGCTACATAATAGGTTGACCCACCCTTTGTGGACACTAGTGCATGACCCCACACATCAAAATGAATAATATCAAAAGAAGCAATAGAACAAGATATACTTTTACTGAAAGGTAAAGTAGAGAATTTTGCTAGTTTGCAACCTGTACAATCAGAAATATCACAAGTGTTCAAATGAACCAAAACACCACTAAAGGCTAGAAAATTCAGACATGATACAAACACATATCCCAAAACGATAACGTCAAAGATTAAACTGAGACGACAAATGTCTCAAATGAATAAAATACAATTCAACGATGGAGGCAACAACATCTGATACTTTGAGAGCCTCCAAAACATAAAGTTATCCGACCCTACGGCTGATCCCAATCACCTTCTGAGTGTGTTGGTCCTGTATGACACAAATGAAATCAGAGAAGAACACCCAATTACCAGACTTACACAATTGGCTAACCGAAGCAAGATTCAAAGCGAGTTTGGGAATGTAAAAAGCATCAGATAGATACATATGAGGATTAGAAACATATCCAACACCCTCAACTGTTATAGATGTATCACTAACAGACATAACACAGACAGATGACATGCATGAAAAATAAGTAAACGATAATAAATAAGGAGTCATATGATGGGTTGCACTGGAATCTAAAATCCTCAAAAATGAAGGTATAACTGAGGTACCAGATGAAGTAGGACCAAAATGAGACATAGATGCACACATGGTAGTAGGATTAAAAACCAAATATCTTTTGAAACTCTCAAAAACCTTGGAGTCCAATGCAAAAGGTGGCATGTTGTCAACTGATGGAATAGCAACATCAGAAGTGAACTGTGGAGGGTGAGGTGAACGTGGCCGCAAGTTCTTCTAACCATACATATTTTGTTGTTGGGGACTGAGGCTGACCAGAT